CGGAACCCGCCCGGCCACGGGGCGAAGGGCCCGCCTCGCCAGAAACGGGCGCCCGCGCAGCACCGCGCATGCGCCGCCGGGAAACGTGGCCCTCGGCAGTGGCGGCGCGGGGGCAGCAGCCCGAGAGCCTCCCGCACCTGGGTGCCAGCAGGAGCGTCTTCTTCACACTCCGTGCCTCCCGTGATCCGTCTTCGGGCGGAATCGGGGTCACCCCCAGACTAACGGGGCACCCGCGTGAGGGCAGCGTGGGGCTGGGGTGGTACCAAGGCAGAATTTCCGCAGCTGGCCGCCGTGAGCTGCGCCACAAGAGAGGGACGCTCGCCCCACGCTGCAGGGGGAGACCAGGCCAAACGTCCCCTACCCCGCAGGTCCTCGTCCATGAAACCCCATTGAAACCTCAGCCCAGGCTCAGGAAGCGACTCTAAACCCTCCTCTCTCATCCTAAGGATCTCCTAACTAGCGAACTCAGTCAGTGCAAAACCAAACTTTCTCTAAAGGAATGTTAAAAGATGAATTACACTAAAAACACAACAGCGGCAACCAAGTCTCTTTCCAAGTTCCCTCTCGAGATACACTCAAGACTCAGTTCTAGTTATTCCCCGAGTACACAAACTTCCACATTGATGTAGTAAGTTTCTTTGCCTTCTCCTTAAGAAGAACTGTTATAAATGATCATTTCCTCCTGGCCTGAAGTCTTAACAATGGCCACCTTGAATTTGTGCATGACAATTTACTAGTCCCTGATTTCATTTCAGATATCAGGAAGAGAGAACAAATGTTTAAATCCCCCCAACATGTTTATTAAATCATATTTCTGTTTGGTCTTCCTTTCGCCAAGTTAAAGCCAATTTAAAAAATTTCCTCTCATGCAAGGGTGGCTGTGTGTTTATTGTTAGTATTTAGTCATCTTAGCATCCCTTTCCTGCACCTCTTCTTTGTTAAAGTACATGCATTTACATACATTTATTTCCAACAAACAGAAACACACACAGGCCCCCGGCTGAGCTGTTACTAGTACCTCAGAACGATACCAGCACTTTTCTAGAATGCGTTAGACTTGTTCACAATCCTATCAGATTGGCAGTGCAACTGATGTACTGTATAAAATAACAAAAGTTTTGTTCTTAACTGCTGAATGCACGATTTAATCTCATTCCTATTATTCTGGTCCACAAGATTATCATACACAGAGAACTGAACAATCCATTCTTCAGAGTTCAGAAAACATGCAATTTTGTGTCCATATCAGCATGTGATGAAAACACAGCAGAAAGGGACATGAATTCCTATTTCGAAATAGCCTCGTGCAGTCTTTTTGTTTAAGCCCGTCTTTATTCAGAGCCATATATTGCTATCTCTTCCTCAAACGAGTTTTCTAAGGCTCTCTGTTTCAAGTGCTGTCCTTAAACCAAGGTAGCACATCCCCGTTATTAAAATAATAACAGTGGCAACAACAAAAAAGCCATTCTGCTATGGTTTCATCACAGATCACTGATCCTGCATTTTTTTCCACTTTGTGTGCTTTCATCCTGAATACTTCTGCCATTGACCTTGTTGCAAGAACTAGATGAATGGGTACACAAAATTGCACATTTTGGCAATGCTGAAGAGGAGAGTGGATTGTTCAGTTCTCTATGATAATCTTGTGGACCGGAATAATAGGAATGAGATTAAATTGTGCATTCAGCAGTTAAGAACAAAACTTCTGCTATTTTATACAGTTCATCAGTTACACTGCCAATCTGATATGACCATGAACAAGCATTATGTGTTTTAGAATAGTCTTCCGTTTTCAAGACCTTGCACACTGATGAGGTATGGAAATCCAAATTGTTCAAGTAATCGCTTCTTTTTCCCCCTTTCCCCTCAACTCCATTATTCAACAAATCTGCTTTTCTCCAGAGACTATAGTCCCTGAAAATCAGATATGACAGGAAGACTTCCCATCACATTGTCAATTATATACACCCCTTCTTTCAATATTCTAGAACAGAGATTACACAGGTGTCTCAGAACTGTGCACTCTTCAACCGTCTCTGATTTTATGTTACTCTAACCTCATCCAAAACTGGCAAAATACTTCCTTGGAAGTTGAACGGTATCTAGAGTCTCCTTAATCTACATTCTATCCTATAACACAGTGCTCTTATGTTTCACCTATAGTCTTTTAAAGTATGTGACCAAACATGAGGTTTTTGATCTTTATTGCACACAGCTCAATCAATTTTGCTCAGACTCACTGCTTTTATGCTTTGTCGTCTCCAACATAAGGAGTTCTCTTCGGTCATGTATTCCTTTACCCAGTTATTATTAATTCACTTAACATACTAGCTGAGTTATTCAGGAGGGTACTTCAGTAGATTTCCACATCAACCTCTTTGTTTCTCTTTTGAATTTTCTTTTCTTGGTTTTTTTTTTTGGTTGGGTTTTTTTTTTTTTTTGGAGGGGGGAGTGTTTGTGAGGGGTTTTATTAATTTCAAATTTAATTTCAATCTTCCTCTTTAGGTTCTCTCTGCTGCTTTTTCCCAAGGGTGCCAGAAAAATAAAAATGTGCATCCTATAGTTCTTCCATCACAGTTGGAAAACTTGTCTGATATTTAAGGAAAATGATCTGGTTTAACCTCCTTAATCTACCCCAGATGTTAAAGAAAACAGAACTGCTGGTTACTCATGAAATGGCAGCCTTCCTTCTGAGCCAATATTAAATCATCCTGTAAAGTGTTTAAATATTGTGCTATGGAGTAAGGGTGTGGGGAGGCACAAATCTACAGACAAAATGTTCAACTGAATCCCAATCATTGTCAGATAATAGAAGAGGAGCCTTCTGTACAGTAGAAACAATATTACCATTAGCATCTTTGCCAAATTCCACCATGCAAATTTACATTCCGTCTAACTGGCTTCCCCTTGCAGTTTTAGTTGGATTCATTTGTCCTTCCTTCCTCTGGCAGCACTCCGATTTCCCTGCTCTGTTTACCTCCTCTTTAAGAAGTCCCAAAGTAATCTCTGTGCACACTATTATCACAGCAATATTTAATATGTTCAAAGACATAGCTATAAGCAATGTGCTGCAAAGGCAAATACAAAACTATCAATCTCTATGATCTAAATTAAATTACAACAGGACAAATAATTGATGAAATTAAATAGGCAGCATCAGCTTGAAACTCACCAACTTTTCCCTGAACATATAAAGACGTACCTCTGTTAGGAACTCTGTTGGTCCCCCATTCTGGATGTTAAAAGGTCTGGCATGGCTACATTCACTCCTAGTTATGGTTACAGAATTATGAAATTCCCATCACTTGCAAGAAGAAATTATGATTTCTTAGAGATGAGATTTTATTTCATCAGCTTTTCCTCCCCCTGTGAGGATGGGAAGGGTGTTTAAGAAGGATCTGCCATGCTCTCAGATCCCTTTCTCTACTATGCCTTACTGCAAAGTGAATTTCTCATTCGGGAATACAAATTCAATGGCAATTCCTACACTTACTACTCACATTGAACTTGCAATGTAGCACCTGGTTATCTTCACTCTCTTCCTCCAAGGTTTCTGCATTCTGCATGTAACAGTCCACCCTGCTCACTTGCAAATACACGGTCTTGGTTAGTATGATTGCAACTAGTTTAGTGGTTTTATTGCTATTACAAGCAGTCCATGAAAAAAACCCAAGATGTTTACAGAATCCCAGAATTATCTAGGTTGGAAAAGACCTTGAAGATCCTCCAGTCCAACCATTAACCTCACTCTGACAGTTCCCAACTCCACCAGATCCCTCAGCGCTGGGTCAGCCCGACTCTTCAACCCCTCCAGGGATGGGGACTCCCCCCCTGCCCTGGGCAGCCCATTCCAACGCCCAACAACCCCTTCTGCAAAGAAATAGTTCCTCAAAGCCAGTCTAATGGTGCAATTTGAGGCTGTTACCTCTTGTCCTATCACTTGTTACTTGGTTCAAGAGACCCATCCCCAGCTCTCTGCACCCTCCTTTCAGGGAGCTGTAGAGGGCCATGAGGTCTCCCCTCAGCCTCCTCTTCTTCAGACTAAACTCCCCCAGTTCCCTCAGCCGCTCCCCGTACGACCTGTGCTCCAGACCCTGCACCAGCTCCGTTGCCCTTCTCTGGACACGCTCGAGTCATTCAATGGCTTTTTTGTAGTGAGGGGCCCAAAACTGAACACAGGAATCGAGGGGCGGCCTCACCAGTGCCGAGTACAGGGGTGAGATCCCTTCCCTGTCCCTGCTGGCCATGCCAGTGGTGACACAAGCCAGGATGCCATTGGCCTTCTTGGCCACCTGAGCACACTGCTGGCTCCTGTTCAGCCGGCTGTCAATCACCCCCAGGTCCCTCTCTGACTGGCAGCTCTCCAGCCACTCCTCCCCAAGCCTGTAGCCCTGCTGGGGGTTGTTGTGGCCCAAGGGCAGCCCCCGGCATTTGGCCTTATTGAAACTCCTCCAGTTGCCTCAGCCCATGGCTCCAGCCTGTCCAGGTCTCTCTGCAGAGCCTCCCTACCCTCGAGCAGATCAACACTCCCACCCAACTGGGTGTCAGCTGCAAACTGACTGAGAGTGCACTTGATCCCCTCGTCTAGATCACCAATAAAGGTGTTAAACAGGAGCGGCTCCAAAACTGAGCCCTGGGGGACACCACTCGTGACTGGCGGCCAACTGGATTTAACTCCGTTCATCACAACTCTTTGGGCCCGGCCATCCAGCCAATTTTTTTTACCCAGTGAAGCATGTGCCCGTCGTTCCTTAAACTACATTAGAAATTCTGGCTGACATAATAGAGATTGAAGTTCAGCATCCAAAATCTATAAGGGTCCATTCTGCAAACACCACCTACCTGTCCCCGTGCCCCCATGATCCAGCATCACAGTGCTTCCCCTTTTGTGGCTATGAACCAACCCACTGCCTCCCAGCCGACAGGAGAAATGAGAGGTCTTCT